ACTTTCCAAAAAGGGAAATGAGAACAATTTTTTGGGACGGCCCAAAAAGAAAATCGAGAACTATTTTGCGGGACGGAGGGAGTATAATAATTGAAAATGTTTATCTAACAAAATCAACAAGTTATAACACCAACACTCAATAAAAAGCAATCAACAATTAAGAAATCAAACCATCATGAATGAAATTAATTAATAAACTAATCAAATAATCATATCAGACTAATATGCTTTCGAGTAAAATTTCTTTATGAAATTTTAAGAGAATGTTTTTCATCAAATTTAATTTATGTCCATAAAATTTCAGCTTAAAATGCAATCATAAAGTTGGTTAAATAAATTATTGAAACACAATGCGCCAAAATATGTATAAAAACGCAGTAGTTTCAATAATTCATTTAGATGACTTCTAAATTAAACTTTGGGAAATTATCATTCACCTCCCCTGAGGTTTAACGTTTTATCACTTACACCCCTATAGTTTTAAAAATATGCAACAACCTCCCTGTATTATTTGAGAGTGTTAACTTTAACGGAAGAGTGTTAACCTCAAACACCAAAGCTAGCATGGTAAATGAAAAACCATCCAAAAGTTAGCATGATAAATTAGAAAGCACCCATCACACATCTTTTGAGTATAACATACCATATTCTGTACTACATATACTTGAACCGTAGGCGGAATATACAAAAGTTAATTAGAGCATATACTTGAGGCTTTAGCCATCTACAACTCTCCACATCAGCATATTCAACTGCCCCTTGACAGTTAAATAGTACTCCCTCCGTCCCGCTATGATTGTCCCATTTTACCATTTTGATCCGTCCCACTAAGATTGTCTCATACCTTATTTGGTAAAGTTTGTGTGGTTCTAAATTATTTATAATTTATTCTTACTTTACCAATTCAATATCAACCACATAAACCTACTTTTATTAATAACCGTGCCACCTTCTCTTGTCCCAAACTTAGGGGGACGGAGGTAGTAGCATTTACTTCATTGTAAAGGGTTGACAACTTACCCGTCTTAGCTTACTAGTATTCATTTAGCTCTTAGCTTATTACTCGCAGCTCTTCTACTTGAGTGTGAGACGAACGGCCGCAAGCCTTAGCATAGTGCAGTGTAACGAGGAGTTATTAGACTTAATAATACTCGTCCCACTATTGCATATATTTCTAAACCCATCTTATTTGCTTGCATCACGTAGTCACATGCACCATTCATTCGAAATCTTTGGGCTTACGTGGTGAGCCCAAGGGTTGAAGGAATAAACCTCAACAATAGTATTAGTCAATATCCTTGACTTAAACCCCAGCCACTCATATACATATCCTGGTTCAAATCAACTTAACATGAGGACACCACTCGGTCCTGAATTACTAAATAGTAATCTATGAGTTTTGAGGATACACGCCCGATCCTTGGGTACTCCACCCTATATAACCGAGTTTTGAGGATACACGTCTGATCCTGGGGTACTCCACCCTAAAATGAATAGAGAACTCTTAAGCACATTAAAAAATCCCAACATGCACAAACTACAGTCAAGAACATACTTTATTGATAATAATACTACCTCCGTCAATTAAAACTTTGCCAAGTTTGACCGGCACAAGGATTAATAAAGTAAAAACTGTGTGATTGAGTTTTGTGCAGAGGAGAGCGAAATTAACTGGAATCACAAATTCTTTACTTAAAAGGGAAAGTGGCAAAGTTAGTGGGATATCGAAAAAAAGAAAGTTGACAAAGTTTTAAGGGACAGAGGGAGTGACATAAACACATTATTACATTTTTGTATTTCATAAAATTTGATAGGACATAAAAAGTAGAAGTTAATTACTCCGTAATATGTAGTACTTACTAGCAAAAATCATACTCCGTATTAGTTATTCACCAATATACTACCTGGTCTATAAACTTAGGCAATTCAAGACTTTAGTTCCTCTGTTTTATGTCACTCTTGTTTTGACTAACCTAGTTATCTTTCACGAACTAACTCAAAAATCCAGAATATTATGCCAAAAATGACTACTAATTCCTCATCATCAGAAATAACAAAAGGAATCATTCTCAATAAAAAAGAAAAGACAAATTTTGCAATTAAAAAGTCTCAATCCTAAAAAAGACATTTGTCCTTTAACAAAGTGCCGTTGCTCATTATCTCTAACCTAGAGGTATTAGAGACATTAGAGAAAAATAAGAGCCCCAAAAGCATGAGTGCTGAAAAATAAAACCATGATTACATATTTGGCCTCTCAAATTCTCAAATACAAAATAGAATTCATTAGCCAAAAGGGGATAACATAATTTAGCAAAAGGAGAAAACATAATTATGAGATTCTAACAAACTGAGTTCTTTCAACAAAACAAAAAAACAAACTGAGATAATGAATCACACTAATCAACTAAAAGTCATGCCTGAAAGAGATTTGTAGCAGTTCTAGCTACTCCGTATTTGCTACATCTACTAGCTTAGTATGCGTAATATCAATAAGCACTTCCATGGTGAGCATGGGTAAGTGAGGGTCTGTGGAAGTTTTTTTTCTTACGGTACAATGGTTTCTGAAAGTTGGGTATCCAATTATGAATTATGTATGCAAGTTAAATTACTAACCCTTGCTGTTAAAGTTGACACTGTCAATGATAGAGGGAGGTTTTTTCATATTTTTAATACTATAAGGGTGTAATTGATAAATCGTTAAACCTTAGGGGAGGTGGGTGATAATTTCCCATCCCTTAAACTTTAAACAGACTTTTTCTTACATAGTCTAAACTTCATAGAGAACATGATCATAAGTTTCTTTAAAAAAATGCATTCAAAAGAACTTCAACAAATTTTACTAAAAAAACTGTTAGTTTAGGGCCGAAAAATCAACCTACTCACACTTGTTACAAAGAACTAAACTTGAGCCTATTTTTTACTCATAATTTTTGGGCCTAGGGCGCCCGCTCCCCTTGCACCCCCTAGGGCCGCCACTGATAATTCTTTTGAAGGGAAAGTTCCCGAAATAGGACAAACAGTTTAAGAATTCCAAAATAGAACTGTCATGTTTTTTATTTCTAAATATGAATAAATACTGTCAGGTTTGGAAAATACTGTCATGTTTGATGTTTGGTACTGCCAAAACATGGTAGTAATCACTAATCCTGGTTGCTTTACTTGGGTTGGTGCCCTAGACAAAATCTAAAGTTACATTATCATATTAGTCAATAATGTTTACACAATAAATTATACTACCTCCGTTCTTTTTTATTAGTCCTCTTAGGGTTTGGCATGAGTTTTAATAATAAAGTAGTAAAGTAAGTATATAGTATGTAGGGTAAATGATAAAGTAGGAAATATGGTATATTAAAAAGAGTAAAGTGAGGATAAAATAGGAAAAAGAGTGTATTAAGAAGAGTAAAGTGATGGTAAAATAGGAAATAGAAAGTAGTTTGTAAAAAGTAAGTGAGGTAAAAGTAATAAAAGTGGGGGTATTTTCTCAAAAACTTTCCTTAAAGGGAAAGGAGAACAAAAAAAACGTCCAAAAAAGGAAAGAAGGACTAATAAAAAAGAACGGGGGGAGTACTATGGATAAAAAGAGAAAAAAGCAGCTACAAAACTTAACACTCCGTAAAAAGTATTCTGTATATACAAGAGTATTCAGGTCCGGCCAGGCCGGACCACTCCCCTGTCCGGCCACCTCAATTTGAGATGGTTCCCGGTGGTATTTTTGACCCAATTTTTTTTGTATGGAATATACATATTCCGGACCAGTTAACTTGCAAAAATCATTTGACGACCTCCCCGATTGAATTTTTTGCTCAAATTTGGTATGGATGAACTAGACTTGATGAGGAACATACACACAAAATTTGAGCAAAAAATACAACCGGGAAAGCCCCCAAATGGAGGAGGCCGGACGGGGCTCCTGTCCGGAATTTCCGGACACCAAGAGCACTCTCTCTATATATATGTATGTTTCACGTAGTGGCCAAGATTATGAATTATTGCCTATTCATTAACATTTTCTTTTAAGTGTTCTTAATATTAAAACAACTGAGCTTTTTATCTAATATTTTAAAAGAATTGTTGAGTTTAATCCAACACGATATAGTAAATATATGTATAAATGTGTATGAACAAGCTCAGTTTTTACGTGGAAACCCGAAAGGGAGAAAACCACGGGACTTTTTAGGCTAATGTCCAAGCCCTCTCTTTCTCATTAGGACTCTCCTCATCATTACAAGGTACAAATATTCAAGCTCCATTAATGGAGGATAAAGCTAATCTAGGGAGAAAGAGGAGGAAGAAAGGGGGATCTTTTACATGGAGGCTAAGCTCCCTATTTATAGAGAAAGGGGATGGGGAAATAATCCACCCTAATGGGCCGCATGGACCGGAATGGGCCCAAATGGCTAAAGTGGGCCAGAATGGGCCGAAACGGGCCTAGCTGCTCGGGCTCCGTACTGGATAATGTATTCGTCTCCTGAACAGTAATAGGCCGAGATAATATATCCCAACAAGAATATTTGCAATTGCTTCTATTTAGAATATTTTTTTAAGTAATTTTAGAGAAAGTGATTAATAGTAAAAGTTAGTAGTGTTTGTGAAAAAATTGCTTTTGAAAAATTAAAAATTGGTAATGTTTGGTAAAATAAGTGATTTTTGTGTAATAGAAAAAATGAAAAAAAATTAAAACACTTTTTCATCTGATTCCAGCTTTTTAGCTTTTATGTGCTTAATTTACACAGAAGTTGTTACTTGAAAAAATTCATTTCAACTTTTTTAAACAAAAAGGTGAATATCTATTTTATATACTTCGTACGTACTTAGTACTAACAATTTGCAACTCGAATGTATGAAATAAGTTAGGTGTGTTAAACAAGTCCCAGGATACTACGTATATAATCGCTAATTTGCATCATATGGTTAGAAAAGTAAGAAGATGGTAATTGAAAAGAACAATTAAGATGGTAATTTGCATCAAATTACCGTATTTGAGAACTAAAGTAGTGAACTGCCGAATAAAATAAAAATAAACAATGGAGATAATAATTGAAGAAGACAAGAGTATTTTCTCCGGCGGCTTGGACTGGAGCAGCTTGCATAGACCGCACCTATCAGCGAAGTTCTATCGTTCCTCCTGGAAGTCCGGGCTCGTACAATTTTCCGCACAATGCTCCAACTTTTCACGTTCCAGGCCATTATATATTCCTTCATTCTCGGATTCATCCTCATCGTCCATTCACATGATTCCAGATCTAACCTCCGTCATTCCCGCCGGAAAATCGATATGCCCACCGAACCGGTAGATTCTCTCCAGGTGCCGGCGGGCTCACCCTTCAAGATCGCGTTGTTCGCCGACCTGCATTTTGGAGAGAACGCGTGGACAGAGTGGGGCCCGCAGCAGGATGTAAATTCTGTCCTAGCAATGTCTGCCACCCTCGATCAAGAACACCCAGGTGAATGAGTAACAATCCTTTTGCTGCTAAAATGAATGGATCATATTGCTCTTAAGTGCATTCTGTGAATTCCTTATTTATTAACTTACAATTATGTGCTCTGTGATATCTCTACCAAGACACTTCTGACAGATTTTGTGATTTATCTTGGGGATCTCATCACTGCAAACCAGGGGCGGAGCTAGTGCAATAGGTCGGACTGGGCCGGTACAAAGAATATTTTTGGAAATTTTTTTACACTGAATTTTTTACACTAAAAATACAGGCATTTTTAAAATTTGGGCTGGGCCAGGGCCAGGGATGGCCCTCCCCTAGCTCCGCCCATGCTGCAAACAATATACCAACAAAAAATGCTAGCTTTTATTGGGACCAAGCAATCTCTCCTACCAGAGCAAGAGGAATTCCTTGGGCTAGTGTTTTTGGTAACCATGACGATATGCAGTTTGAGTGGCCAATAGAATGGTTTTCATTGTCCGGAGTTCCTCCAATCCAGTGTCCACAAAACCTTTCATACCCTGGTAAGTCCATATTCAATGACCCAGTTGCTGATATGTGCATTTAACTTTATGCACTTTTAGTTAATGATCATTTGTAACTAATAAGGGGATTGTAATGTTTTATGTAAAATATTCCATGTAATCTTGGTATTCTTGTCAGTTCATACCCTGTATTTTTTGGTCACTTATACTGTAACTTTTATTTACTTACATAAGAGGTGAGATAATATGAATATGTTATGTGACCTTTAGTAAGAAAATCTGAAGGAAACTCTAATAACATGATAATGATTAGGCCAGTCTTTGGTTATGATGGTTGGATCTTTTAAAGGGGGAAAAGCTTAATGGTTCTGGAATATTGAATAGATATTTTTAATTAGTGGACTATACTATTTCCTCTTCCTTGATCTTATAGTTTCTTTCTTCCTCTTTTTTAGTGGGTAGAGATTAGTCCATTGGATGGTTACCTTGCAGTAAGTTGTCGGTGTCTCAGTGAACATATTATCCGACAACCTTGTTTTGCTGGCAAGGAAGTTGATCTACAAATAATATAATCTTGGGACCCACATACACAAAAGTTAAAGCTTAAAATTGGAAAATCTTTTAAAGGTTTTCGTGTGCCAAACACATGGACATCCAGAAAACGTTTTCCATTACTGCTTTTTAATATCAAGACAAGCGTAGAATTAAAGAGAAAATTGAACCTCTACAACTTAGGTTGGCTTCTTTTGTAGGAGGCAAAGAAGATTGCAGCTTCAGGGGAACAACTCGCTTGGATTTGATAAAAAGTGAAGTGGAGTGCAACACAATATTATCATACTCTAGAAGTGGTCCAAAGGATATGTGGCCCAGTGTTTCCAACTATGTCCTTAAACTTTCATTGTCAAGTGACCCTGAGCCTGCTGTAGTGTACATGTACTTCCTAGATTCTGGTGGTGGCTCATACCCTGAGGTTATCTCTAAAGCCCAGGTGGAGTGGTTCAACCACACGGCTCATGAACTCAATCCGGATGCAAGGTACTGTGAAATAAAGATCTGACTATGGCTTTTTGGCATAGTTTCTGTTATGGCGTGTATGGAACTCTGGAAAAGGTAATGAAAGAAAAAAGTGCTTAGAAAAATGGTTTTTTAGTGTTTGCTGTCCCGAAGAAAATCTAACTTGCTTACAACTCTAAAAATTTTACATGTTACTTTTATTTCTTACCCTTTATATGTAATATATAAACATTTAAATGAAATGAGGTTGAACAACAAAAATAACATCCAAGCCTTAGTCCCAAAAGATTTTGGGGTCGCCTAACATGAATTGATACATGATATCAGAGCAAAAAAAATATAAGAGAGATAAAAAGATCTAAGATAAAAATGATACGATAAAAATAAAGATAAAGAGGATAGAAAGAAAATATATAAAATAAAAAGATAAAATGATTAAGAACATAAGAAAGATCAAAAGATTAAAAAAATAAGAGAGAAAAGTGATCAATCCTCTACACAAATATTCGTTCTCCACTTTGCTCTCTCCAAAACCATACTCTTATCCAGTCCAAGAAGAAGCATGTCGCCCTAAGCCCTCTAATCCACGTATGTTTTGGTCTTCTCTCCCTCCCCTCTCCACATTTTCTCTTCACCTCTCAACTTGTCTATCAGGTGCATCACTCAATCTTCTACGCACATGACCAAACCACCACAATCGAGACTCCTGCACATAATCTTCTATAGGTGTTACTTCCACCTTTTGTCTTATTATCTCATTCCTCGAGCAACCTTTTCTGGTATGTCCACGCATCCGCAACATGCGCAAATGTCTAGTCTAAAATGTATTTAATGAGTGATGAACTGTTCAGTTTCCCCCACCTCTCTTTTCTTCAATATATCCTCTGTTTATTGTTACTTCTCTATTTCCGTTCCCTAATATTTCCATTCCCCCCCCACAAATATATACCGAGTTCAAGCATTAGGAAACATTTCCTGGAAACAATGTTTTTTATTCTTTCCTCATGTGGGTTCTATACTTCATATTTGTATGCAACAAAAATGTTTTTTCCCTGCAGTGTTATATCATTATTGGAGAGATCAAAACGGAGGGAAAATATTTGTGTGGAGGATTGATCTCTTTTCATCTTTTTTTATCCTTGCACCTTCCTTATCTTTCTTATGTTCTTGATCCTTTTATCCTCTTTTACCTTTTTTATCCCTTTGTTATCTTATCATTTCTATCTTTATCTTATCTTTTTCTTTTCTTTTTTGTCTTACCTTGTCTTTTTATCTTTTTCGTCTTTTTAGCTCTGATTTCATGTGTCTTAGCCTAGCCCAAACTCTTTTGCGACTAAGCTAGGATTTTGCTGTTATTGTTGTACTATTATAACATTATATAGCATTTCTTGCAAATAAAGTGAAAGACACTACTGCAGGGTGCCAGAGTTGATGTTTTGGCATATACCTAGTCAAGAGTATCAAGATGCTGCTGCACAACTTTCTCAACACAAAAACTGTGTGGGTTCAATGTTTGGAGAGAAAGTTGCTGCTCAGGAAGCTGAAATGGGGATTATGGAGCTCCTTGAGGGAAGATCTTCTCTGATGGTAAGGACCAGTGGCGGATCTAGCACTTGCAATTTGGGTGTTCAAAGTTACTTTAAAATTTAGAATTAAGAATTGCTATTGGCTCCTTTTAGAATTGATATTAATTAGTAATACTTACATAAATGAAGTAAATTTTTCTCAATAAATCCTTGAAATCAACAGAAACTATTTATGCAAAAATCATACTCGGATTCAACAGATAAATTAAGCAAAAAATTAAGCAAATGTTGAGTAAAGCACCCATATATTGAGCAAAAACTTTAAGCAAAATTATATTGTCGACATCAAGAGTTCGGACATTCAATTTGTATAAAATGTTTTCAATCCACTAAACCTGACATCATATATTCCAATACTTTCAAGGCAACTAGGCAAGTAGTGACTAGTGGGAAATGGGAATTAGAAAATGAATTTATAAATTTCATACGGAGTACTAGATTTACAAAAACTAGGTCTAACCACGTACTAACGTGGAGTGGAGGCGTCAGGCATGATCGCGAGAAGAGGATGCCATGGTGGAACTGTTTACCTTCATCCCGTGGATTAAGGAGACTAGAGTACCGTTGGTGGACTGATGACGACGGAAACCATTGCAACTCGCGAGATGGAGAAAATCCAAGGCTGGGAATCTGGAGCTCGTGACTAGGGAGATGAAACTCTCGACAAACGATAGAGCACCGTCGGGCGTCGGGCGGCGGCAACAGGAATGCTGAAGCAGAGCAAAGATGTGCGGTGGCCACTAGAGTCTGAAGGAGACAACACCCTGCCGGCGTCTACGACAGTTCGAAATTTTTAGAAAAAACTAAAATGACGTACTTATGGTAAAGAAAACTGATTTTTTTTGGGTGTTCATGTGCATAGTCTTGAACAACACTGGATCCGCCCCTGGTAAGGACCTTGCATAAGCAATGGCAGAACCAAAAATTTATTATTAGGGGCAAAAGTTTGAACTTTTTTTACTAGGTGCCAAATAGCCTGATGGTCTTACTCTACAATCATTGATAAAAGATTGTGATGGCTTTATGTTTGTATTATGGTTCATAATCATTATTTGTGTGCCGGGGGGGGGGGGGGGGGGGGTCAGATTAGCCTCTCAAAATGTTTTTGATAACAGAAGATACAATAATGACTTTCTATTTTCACTTCATTTTCCACTGGGCAGGCATTGTTTGTTGGCCACAACCATGGATTGGACTGGTGTTGCCCCTACAAGAAGCTGTGGTTGTGCTATGCTCGTCATACCGGCTATGGTGGATATGGGAATTGGGATAGAGGGTCAAGGATTATCGAGATCACCCAGCGTCCTTTCACCCTAAAATCGTGGGTTCGGATGGAAAATGGTACCGTCCACAGTCAAGTTGTCTTGAGCAGCTTTTGATCTGCCCGCTTTTCTCAACTTTTATATTACCAGAAGTCGTGAACTTTACAAATGATTCTACCAAACGGTCAATATTTCACCATCTCTTTTGAAAGCTTCATACTTGGAGCAAAATTGACATGTGTAGATCAAACACTAGGTGATACAAAGTCAAAGAAAAACGTAAAAAAGTTATCGGAAGATGATCAACTTCTTTTGATTACCGTGCAAAAGTAGTGCATATTGGCATATCGAATTTTAAGAATTTGCCTGATTTGACTGTGAATTATTTGAGAAAGGAGAAGGGATTTTCCCCTAAATATTATTCAATTAAAGCCAAGTTCCAAGAGGTGACTACTTTTAAGTGCTGACAAAAATGTGATTAACAAAGTGATATATTTGAAAAATATGATGTTTTTATGTCATTGTGATTTTTCATGTCACTGAGACTTTTTTTTATGCATGTCCTTGTGCCGCCGTGAAATATGGAGCATATCCTTGTGCCGCCGTGTGCCGCCACGAAACATGTCATGTGACTGTTTTCGTTCAGTGAACTACCGCTCCGACAGTAATGTCACTGACCACCACCGTCACCAATGGCTTTCACCCAAGAGTAATCTTCCCCAGCCCCTCCCCTAGGGGTGGACTCGGGCCGGTTCGGTCCTGGGCCCGGCCGGGCCTCGGTTCATGAAAGGGGAGGCCCGGAACCGGCCTGGGTAACCCCCGGGTCCGGTTCGGACCGGGCCGGGCCTCGGTTCAATTTTTTTTTTTGGCTTTTCCTAATTAACCCCCAACATTCCCCCTCACCCCCAAATCACCCCAAACCAGCTCAAATGGCCCAAAATACCCAACCCAACTCAAAAACTTAAAAAAAATTCAAAAAAAAAAGAAAAAATAAATAAATTGGCCCGGGGCGGGCCCGAACCGTCCGGGCCGGTTCACCTTTTCAGGGGCCAAGCCCGGCCCGGAATCCCAGCGGGTCGGGCCTACCCGGACCGGTCCTTGGCCGGGCCGGCGGTTCGGGCCGGTTCAAACAGTGACCGGGCCGGGCCGCCCGGCCCGAGTCCACCCCTACCCCCCATCCTCAGCCACGGCAAAGCTGCATTCCACCACCACCCAGCCCCCAACCACTACAACAGCCTGTTAGCCGCATTCCTCCACCACACCACACCCCAAGGGCCCAAGCTATCACACAAACCCTGTCTTGACCCTCTCCTCTATGCCGCTATGCGACGAGGCGTCGAGGACGATGACTTATAGGGATTCAGTCTCAAGCAAGCTAGGATGGGGGGCTGCGGCGGGCTATGGAGGACGCACGTCGGCGTTGGTAGTTGACCTGTGAGCAATGGGCCGACAAGAGGGGGCTGGATGGAAGGCGACAAAAATTCTGTGGTGAGTCACCAAAGCGGTGGGTTAATTAGGAGGATGAGTCATTTACGTGGAAAATATTAAAAGAATCATATTTTTAGAATCCAAAAATCTTTTAGTAATATAGGGGTCATTATTTCAAAGCGGTATCAAATTCTTGAGTTACAATTTTGTTGTTGTTAAACTTCGGTAGTTGTACTCTACCAAATGTACTTTTAATTTTTGAATAGTAGTACATAATGAGATTATTGATTTTTTTTAAATATGTATTATGTGAAAGGTAAACAAAGCAGCACACGAGATGGAAATTTCATTTCTTTAACTAGTTAGTTTTGCATGTTGGCAATTTTGTGAAACTTTTTTGACGTTTGCAATACTGTGACATTGAAATATTTTTAGTTTAAAGCTTTTTTATACTGTGATTTGTGAGCTTGTTTACAATATTGTGACATAACGATATTTCATTAGGCAATAGCATTTGATATTATTAATATTATTATATTGTTATAATTGCATTGTTCGATGAGTGACATTGAATTACAGGTACACGATATGGTCACAATGCTGCAGTTTTTGTAAGAAATAATACATACGGCTATACATGACTAAATGAATGTCCTCTCTCAGATATATAACTTTAATTTATGTTCAATTTTTACACTTATGTCTATAAAACTATATTATAATAATTATTAGTTACATTTTTGTAAATAAGTTTCATTTCACTAATATTTTTTAAAAATTTCTAATAATATTTATGACTAAAGTAAATGGAGTATTATTTATAAAAATGTGATTTCTTTAGGGAGTGTTTGCATTTGATTAAAAAAAGTGCTTTTCAGCTTTTGGCTTAAAAAAAGTTAAAAAGAGTGTTTTCAAATGACAGCTTCTGCTTAAATTAATCACTTAAAAGCTAAAAGCTGGAAGCAGGTGGAAGGGTGCTTTAAACTGCTTTTCACTTTTTCTATTACACAAAAAGTATTTCTTTTACCAAACACTACCAACTTTTACTTTTTCAGAATCACTTTTTCTTCAAACACTATCAACTTTTACTATTAATCACTTTTCCCAAAATCACTTTAAAAAATCACTTCTTTAAAGTTGAAGCAATTGCAAACACTCCCTTAGAGTAGTGAATGTAATAATAACTTAGTTATAGCAACTTATATAGTACTTTCATATTTCATACTCCGTATGAAGTACCCTGTATCGAAATTTCATTCCGTAATATTTAAACAAATTATAGAACACAACCGGATAAACTATAGCCCCATAGAATGACTAATACTGTACAAGACATTGGATGCATAACTCACATCTCCTCTAGGGGTGGGTTGAGTTTGGTTTTGACCCAGAATCAAATATGAAAATAAAGTAAAAAGTTCAGTTCGGTTTCAGTTCAATTTTGCATTTCAATACTTGAAACCAAGCTTTGATTGGTTCGATTTATTTCGGTTCGATTTCGGGATTTTTGGTTTTTTTAACTAAAAATGTCATTTGATTTAAAATGATACAATACTTGGGGGAAACAAATATTACATAAAAGAATGTAAGCATGCTAGAACAAATAAAATAACATAAAAAAGAGAAAGAATACATGTATCTTGAATAATGTGAATATGTGTGAGAGTAATCAAAATTTTCTAGTTTTTTGTAATAAAAGTGTATATATTCTTATTTTACATTTTTTGCGACTAGTTCATGAATATATATACTAGTATGTAGTATGTTCTAATAGGTATAATTGAGATGAGTATTTATTTATTTTGTAAATATAAACATTTAAGTTACATAAAAATAAAATTTACTTGTAATAAGCACAAAAAACATACATAGTATTACCATCATTCAACAAACTGTAAAATACATGCGTAATGCACATGATAGATCAATATAACAATATTATTATTGGAAGTGAAAGTGTAAATTCACTCAGAAACTAAACTAAACTAAACCACAAATATAATAACTTAACATTTAATAATAACTGTGTAATACATATAATACAAAATATTATTTTTCTATATTTTAGCTAAAGAAAACCAAAAACTATCAATAATATTAGGATTAATGCTTAACAATTACTGTGTAATAAATAAAATTTCATATTTCAATTAGTTTAATTCATTAGGTTCAATTTTGAAGGGACAAAACCAAAACCAAATTAAACTACAATTCGATTGTTTAGGGTCTGTTTGCAACTGCTTTTAAAAAAGCACTTCTCAGTTTTTGGTTTTAAAAAAATATTTATTTTCCCAAACACTACAACTTTTATTTTTCTCGGTTTCCGCGTCAAAAGTGCTTTTATTTTTTCTATTACACAAAAAACACTTATTTTACCAAACACTACCCATTTTTACTTTTCAAAATCACTTTTTTCTGAAACACTATCATCTTTAATTTAATCACTTTTCCCCATTTAATAAAAAAAAACACTTTTTTTATTTTCTGTTTTATTTTGATTTGGTTTCCGATTTATTTTGATTCACTTTTTTTATTTTCTGTTTTTGGAACCCAGCACCGGTGTCCCCCCGTGAAATCCCGGTGCTCTTTGGAGTACCCGTCAAGGCGTCAATGAAAGCCATGTTAAGAGCCCACGCTCTTGCTGACTCATCGAGGCATGATTCCCCTGCGCTCTTCCCACACATTTACAGCTGATACCCGGCCCGGAAATGGTCCTTCGGCGGCAACCATTCAATACTAATTTCCGTCTCGGCAGCGCGGCGGCGCGGCGGTGCTCCTATCGAATCGGCCGTCCTATTGTGACCGCACCGTATACCAACTCGACCACACCGTCCCTACAAACAAAGGTACCGACGGGAACATGAGGACTCAGAATCGCAGCTGCTGGCAGCGTCATCAGTAAAGGTAGTTTTGTCCCTTCAGTTCAAAATTACTCCTATTTACGGTTTAAAAAATTTGAACTCCTATTTACTTTCCCAGCCATGTTTTAGTCTTACTAAGTCTTTTTCCCTTTTAAAAAACGTTTTCCCTTTTTAAAAACGTTTTAGCAATAGTGGTAGTTAAGTAGTGATATAGTGATAGTCAAATGGTGGATGCTTATTTGCCAAAACGAAGGAATTCAAGAACAAAAATCTCCTTTTTACTAACTGTTAAGAAGAAGATAAAAAGATAAAAAGTACCCCTTTAAATTGAGAGAAATGCTATAGTATACATTTTTTTATGTACATTTTTTCTCCCAAGATCGAGGAAATTTAGTAATACTAACGGTAAAAAGTATAAATTGAAGATACATAATGAGATGCACTTGGGTGAGCATGGTAGTTTAGAGGAGATCATGGAGACACACCATTGAATTTAGAGAAGTCGATATAATCAACATTTGGAGTAAAAACTGCCATTGGCATATACTTTCCTTTTTGGTTGTCCCAAAATGAATGTCTTGTTTACTTTTTTGGCAAGATATATGTGGTCCTTATCAATTCACGTTATTATTTCAAATCTCAACCACAACTTTTACTTTTCAACCACTTTATTAATAATCGTGTCAAATTGAAAGTTGACAACCAATATGGGACGGAGGTAGTACCATATAGGCATCAGTAGACATGCATTATTTACTCATAGTAAACTTACACCATAGAACAGTAGTAAAAATTACTCATCTGAATTCACAGGAAGCCAATAGTAGACACATACTATCGTATTTAAGTACATGTTTTTTACACAAAGTTGAGGAAATCCAGTACAGGCACTTCTGTTTACTTATCAAATGTAAGTAGTATAAAATGAAAGTACAGAGTGAGATAGTCCTCTTATGTGAGCATGATAGCTCAAAGGAGATGGTAGACACATTACATAGGCTGCTGATCATTTGTAACTGGCAAGGAAGTTGTAATGTTTTATGTTCATTTAATGTTCAATCAAAGGTTATCAACTTTCACTACTTTATAATAACTATTTTACTACTTCCAAAAATTTTGTCCTTGTGTTAAGATGATCACCACACTTGAAAAAATTGAGAGTTACCATTAAATTGTCAATAATTATCTACAAATAATCAAAACTGCACGAATCAAATCTCCTTTTTCAAATATTAAAAAGTGAAAAGTAGAAGTAGAGAAAGACAGAACCGTAACTGAAGTGGAAGTTCATATCGGTTTGATGAGTTGTTTCACTAATCAATCATTTATAATTGTATTTGTTAATTTTAGCTTTTATTGTTGACTTATATTTTTGTGAATTTTCTGTTACCTATAGGTATAAATATGTATGTACTATGTAATGTCACGACAGGATAGCTTTACCCAAATTAGATGAAGCAAGTGTGGTGGAGTCTTCAACAGTTCCGCCACATTTTGAAGACATGCATAGCCGAGAGGGACCTTTGGACTGGCAAGTCCCTCCACACATTGTACATCAAATCCCTCCTTATCCCGCCCTCTACCTACATGTCCAACCACTTCATCCTCCTCTACTCCAAATGCGGCCGCCTTTCCGATGCCCGCAAGGCATTTGACTCTACCCCGTCTCCCAATGTCTTTACCTACAATGCCATAGTGGCTGCATACGCGAAAGAAGGCCAGCCGCACACCGCACACTACCTGTTTGATCAAATTCCCCAACCGGACCTTGTCTCTTATAATACCCTCATTTCTGCCTATGCTGATCGTGGGGACACCGTACCTGCTCTTGAACTATTTCTGGGTTTGAGAAGAACGGGGCTGGACATCGACGCCTTTACATTGTCAGGAGCCATCACAGCTTCTTGTGATGATAAGATATTGATTCTTCAGCTTCATTCTTTTGCTGTTTCAGGCGGGTTTGATGCATTTGTTTCTGTAAATAACACTCTTCTTACATGTTACGGTAAAAACGGGCATTTAGATTATGCCAAGAAAGTTTTTGAAGCAATGGGAGAGATTAAAGACGGGGTCTCCTGGAATTCGATGATTGTTGCTTATGGGCAACATAAAGTAGGGTCCAAGGCGCTATCTTTGTATCAAGAAATGATGAGCTTGGAGTTAAAAGAGGACATGTTTACATTAGCGAGTGTCTTAACTGCTTTTACATCCATGGAGGACTTTCTTGGGGGCCTTCAGTTTCACGCTCGCCTGATCAAGATGGGGTTTCACCTGAATACTCATGTTGGTAGTGGCTTGATTGATCTTTACTCGAAATGCAGCAAAGATGGTATCCCGTATTGCAAAAAAGTATTTCAAGAAATCCCCAATCCAGACTTAATCCTTTGGAACACCATGATATCTGGTTGTTCCCTCTTCGATGACTTTTCTGAAGAGGCTGTCGCTTACTTTAGGCAAATGCAGCGTGTGGGCCACCAACCCGATGAATGCAGTTTTGTTTGTGTGATCAGTGCATGTTCTAATCTTTCCTTGCAAGGGAAACAGGTTCACTCTTTAACAATCAAATCATACATCCCAGCAACCAGAACCCTCACTGTCAGTAATGCTCTTATCACAATGTATTCCAAGTGTGGTAATCTACAAGATGCCATTAAAGTATTTGACAGAATGCCCGAGCACAACAGTGTGTCCTTCAATTCCATGATCGCAGGCTATGCTCAGCATGGGCATGCCATGGAATCCCTCATACTCTTTGAGCAGATGCTTGGAGGGAATAATAATAGTGACGTGGGGCCCACAAGTATAACATTCATTTCGGTCCTGTCTGCATGTGCACACACTGGAAGAGTAGAGGAGGGTAAGAAGTATTTTGGTATGATGACTGAGGAATTAAGAATCAAGCCAGAAGGAGAGCATTACTTGTGCATGATTGACCTTTTGGGACGAGCTGGAAATCTAGAAGAGGCAGAGAGTCTTATAGAGAGCATGCCATACAATCCTGGGGCTATCGGGTGGGGAACATTGCTTAGATCTTGTAGAGTCCATGGAAACACAGAGCTAGCAATGAAAGCAGCCGAACACTGTCTTGAGCTGGACCCCATGAATGCAGCTCCATACGTCATGCTTGCAAATATCCATGCCGGTGCTGGAAGATGGGAAGAAGTAGCGGCCATAAGAAAACAAATGCGTGACAAAGGGGTTAAAAAGAAACCGGGTCATAGTTGGATAGAGGTGGACAAGAGGGTACACATTTTCGTAGCGGAAGATCATTCTCATCCGATGATAAAGGAGATATATGTCTTTTGGGAAGAGATGTCAGAAAAGTTGAAGCAAGCAGGGTATGTGGCAGATTTGAAGTGGGTCCTCATTAGAGATGAATACGGGGGCATTCATGAGGAAGAGAAGGAGAGAAGCCTGAGGCATCACAGTGAGAAGCTGGCTGTTGCTTTTGGGCTCTTATCAACAAAAGAAGGGATGCCTCTACTTGTTCTTAAAAACTTGAGGATATGCGGTGACTGTCACAATGCTATCAAATTTATTACTGTCATAACTGGACGTGAGATTACAGTGAGGGATTGCCACAGGTTTCACTGTTTTAAGGGTGGCATATGTTCTTGTGGGGATTTCTGGTGATAGATTTCGCTACAAATTTCTGGCAAACATCTGTTCCGGATATGTTCAAACTGGATTTTATCTTGGATATATATATATACTCATGTCTGAAGATGTTGCTAAAAATGTATTGTCATGACGGTTTAACAAAAATTTGACTCCGGATGTACAAAGAGAAAGAGCAAGTTGAGAAGACATTTAGTTATAAAATCACCTTCCGGCTCTATGGATCGGTATGTCAAGATAAATCCTTCCTTACAATTCTCTTAAGTTTTTTTACATTTACTTTTATTTCATAGCCTTTATATAATACTAGTATATAACATAAACATTTAAATAAAATGGGGTTGAACAAATATGTAAAATTGTTGATGATGATGATGATGGGGACACGGGGTTGAACAAATATGTAAAATTGATTTAATGAGTTTGATACTTTGATGAACATTTTTAGTTTCCCCCACCTATTTTTTCTTCAAAATATCCACTGTTTCTTTTTTCTTCTCTATTTTCTATCCCTAATTTTTACAGAGTTCAACCATAAGGAAATAAATCCTGGAAACAATTGGTTTTTTATTCTTTCCACACGTGGGATCTATTCTTCATATTGGTAGGCAACAAAAAATGTTTTTTTCTGCACTATTATAACATTAAAGCCGACCCCAATATGTTTTGGGACTAAGGCTTGGATGTTGTTGTTGTTGTATTATAACATTATTATAGCAATTCTTGGCTTCTTGCAAATAAAGTGAAACACACTACTCCAGGGTGCCAGCGTTGATGTTTTGCCATATATCTAGTCAAGAGTAAAATGATGCTGCACAAACAACACAAACACCGTGTGGGTTCAATGTTTGCAGAGAAAGTTGCTGCTCAGGAAGCTGAAATGGGGATTATGGAGCTGCTTGAGGGAAGGTCTTGAGGTCTTCTATCCGTTCACCATAAATATATACAAATATCTATTCCTGTTTATATGAATATGAATACAACGTATTCCTGTTTAGTACAATTTTCCCTTGCAATCCATCAGAGTCACTATGCATATTTTTTACATATTAAGTTCATAAATTGTTATTATATTGTTCTCTCCGTCACACAAAACTTGTCCATATTGACTTTTCTTGATCAATAATTGTCAAGTGTGGCTAATTATATTTTTTTTATATGAACTTATTTAAAATATGAAAGATATATGAAAAATATTCTTCGCTAAATATGCTTCATGATTCCTGGAAGTCTAAAAATTATAAATTTCACATAAATGTTACAACTAAAAATCATTGTTCAAAGTTTATTTTATTGACCAAGAAAAGTTAATTTGATCAAATTTTGTGCGATGGGCTACTAAGTACCAAGCGGAGGGAGTGTTATAAATGTTTTTTTAAACTTTTTTCTGAATAATTATAGAATTAATAATGCGACTTTTCGATGTAAAAAATGAATAAATTTGGATAAAATAATCCATTTGAAACTTTGGAACTACAAAATTAAAATGAAGAAAAAAAAGTATTTCAATATTTCAATTTGGGACATTTGAAGTTCCACACTTCCACATCTATTTTCCACAGTTTGAAGTTTCCTCCTGCATATCAGATGGAAGTTGCATTAACAAGAATAAGTTAATGAAACAAATCAGAAAAATCAGTGGCTCAGAATGCTTGTTATCCTTCACAAGGAATATAGGGGCAACTGCTACAATTTCAGTTACAACTTACATGTTATGAACTGAAAGAGCTATACCAACCCTAAACCATACATTCAGTAATGTGTGGAAGCTTCATTATAGCCAATGAAATTTAATATAAATGATAGAGTCAAGGATTAATGGGATTATGAGATACTTACTTCAAACCTGAAAATCAGATCAAGTGACAAGGGTCCAGGAACAGTTGGCAGCATGTGCATGCTTTTCAGAATGACAGAATCATACTCATTCAAATGTAACAAGCACACAATACATTATACATAGGTATAGTGGTTCATGTGTACACCAAAAATATACCAGTGAGCTAAATTAGTACACAGTTCATGCAATATATTCAACAGTTTAGTATTAAACATGTATATTGCATATAACATATACTTAACATCTTCCAACATTTCCGATATATTCAAGTAATGGGCTTATGGGAGTATGAGAGTATTAGAGAATGGGAGTAAATGAGTAATGGGCTCATGGGACAGTATAGGATGTAGAAGGACCAGCAGGTCCAACACCAAGTCACCAACATTTGCAATTCAAAACATGCAGGTGACACAGTTAAAACAAACCAGACATTTCATAGAGCTTAGAATGCTTATCTTATTATCATTCACAAGGGAAATAAGGGGTCATCTATTACAATTTCAGTTACAACTTACCATTTTATGAACTAAAAGAGCAATACCAACCCTAAACCCTTTATGCAGTAATGAGTGGAAGCTTCATCATAGCCAATGCAAATCATAGAGTCATGTACTGATGTTCATACACATTCAAATGGAAAAACAAGCACATAAATACATAATGAAACAAATCAGACATTTCATAGAGCTCAGAATGCTTATTTTCATTCACAAGGGAAATAGGGGACATTTGCTACAGCCTACAATTTCAGTTACAACATACAACTTGTCATTTTGAACTGAAAGAGCAATACCAACCCTAAACCCTATATGCAGTAATGAGTGGAAGCTTTAGCATAGTCAATCATATAGCCATGTACTCATGTAGATTATGTAGTCATGTTCATACATAGTTCCGCCACTAGTTCCGCCACTGCTGGGAACGGTTAATATCCTGCTAAAAGAATTGTTTTGCCTCGTTATATTTAGTTCGTGGACTTAATTGGATGTTTTTTGAGTTCAGAGCTTAATTGACTTTTTTGTATTAGTATGGGGCCTACATGACACTGTTCCCTTGATAAAATGGGTGCATTCATATATATTACGTACCTACGGACTACAGTCCGTGTATAGATGATTCAAGATGCATGCTGATACTGTATGCAATTGATATCGAAGTATTAGATTATTGTTAATAAGGCTAAAGAGTCAAATAGGTACATGAACTAACTTAAAGTGTTCAATTAGCCCCTTATATAGGAGATTCTGTCCGGCTGTTGCCAATTGGGGCGGTTCCTGGTGGAATTTTTTGATGAATTTTTTTGAGTATCTTCTTCATTAAGTCTAGTTTACCCATACCAAATTTCAGCTAAAAATTCAATCGGGAAGGCAGTCAAATGAGTTTTTGAAGATAACTCCACAGTTAAACAACGCAGTACATTTCGAAAAATCATTTGATTGCCTTCCCGGTTTAATATTTAGCTGAAATTTGATATGGGTAAACTAGACTTAATGAAGAAGATGCTCAAAAAATTTCATCAAAAAATTCAATCGGGAACCTCTCCAATTGGCGACGGCTGGGCAGAATCTCCTATATAAGGGGCTAATTGAACACTTGAAATTAGTTCATGTACCTATTTGACCCTTTAGCCTTGTTAATAATAACAGTACTCATATAGTCATATTATATGTGATGGAGTAGGTTATTGTTTATGTGTTTACGTCAACACAAAAAACATCATTAGCTTTAGATAATCATTTGTAAACCAAAAGAATTTATTTCAATAGTTTGTCTTCGAACATCACAAATCTTATAGATGTGATGCATCCGTTGTCCGAGTTTGCTTTATAGTTGCTACTACACAAAATTAACAAGTACCTTCAATTCTTTCCCAAGAAAATAATCTAATTAAACATGTATCGGCATCGCTGGTCAGTCAACTTGGTTTAAATATTCAATGTGTAGTTAAAGAGATTATATGCATTTTTGCAAGTCAATTTGCTTAACACACATGAATGTTTGGACAAAACACGTCAATTTCTCAAACTACCTAAATGTAATTCGAAATATCTTCTGGTTTGAATTAGCTGATCAGCTATTTTTTGGCTGATTTGACTAATATTTGGTTAAGAGCCAATCAGCTATTTTTTGGCTGATTTGACTAATATTTGGCTTTTTGACCAGATTAATCAGCTAATAAAATGTTTGGTTAATTAGCTTTTTCATTTGGCTTTTTATTCCAAACAGCCAAATTCTCAAAAGCTATTGAAAGTGTTAGAGATATTATCATTGTATTGTGATCAATGTTTCTTAGCTCTTTATATTTGGCATCTAAATTAAATAGACTAGCTAGAATAATGAATAGGCCTTTTAAGGCAATTTGTAATAAAAGGTTTTATACCTTTTTAGGTATGGGCCTCCTAGAAAAAGGAGCCCAAATGATTGTAAAACCTACCTTTCCCGTCAGGCTATATATATGCCTTAAGGGAAAGGCTAGGTTAAGCTTTTCGACATTCCTAGTGCCGCAGTGCCTATTCTTGTGTAAGGTTTTTACGTTTAACATTCATATCATTCTGTAAAACCTTCATATCAATGGAAAGCTTCAAACACAGATCTATCTTCCATACACATACATAATAGACTAGAAAACAGGGACCTAACATCTGGTATCAGAGCCGGAGCTGATCGATCGATTGAAGGCTGGAAAAGCTTCTGCGCGATTCTTCATCGGCGAAGTTTTTGCACTTGAGCGATTTCTGGCTCTATTTTTGTTGTTGTTTTTGCAGGAAATGGCTTGAAGGAAAAGGTTTCTACTGTTGCTAGGATCATTCCTGGAGAAAATCTCGATCTGAAAGTTGGCGAACAGGTTCAGCCAGAATTTGAGCGATCCTGCAAGTTCACGCAACTCCTTTGGAACGAAGAACAGGAACGCGCAACTACACTCCTGCGCGTTTTTGAGCTTCGCGCAATACATCCTGCGCGATACTTGGACTTGCGCCATCCTCATTTGACTGCTGCGCGATCTTGCACTTCGCTCAACGTCTTCTGCGCGATCTTCACTTCGCGCAAGCTCACCTGCGCGATCGTTGATTTGCGACATTTTGGACTTAAGAGATTTTCTGGAGTTGAGCGATATTTTTACAAGTTGAGAGATTTTTTGTGAAGTTGAGAGATTGTTTTTTAGAGTTGAGAGATCTTTTTGTATTGTGGAGAGATTGTTTGTAAAGTTGAGAGATCCTTTTTAAGTGTTGAGCGATCCTTTTTAAAGGTTGAGAGATTGTTTTCTAAGACTTGAGCGATCTTTTTAAGACTTGAGCGATCTTTTTCTAAAGTTGAGCGATCTTTCAAGAATTGAGCGATCCTTCTACAACTTGGAGTAATCTTTCAACACCTTGCGCGATTTTGACCTGTACTGAACAAGAACCTTCTGCCCAAAGTACTGGAACCAACAAAACAGAATCAAATCAATCAACTGATCAGCCCGATCAATTTCAAAATGGATGCACTATCAATTGGAAATGATACAAGACCCCCGATTCTTCGAAGAGGGGAGTACAATGTATGGAAGAACCGATTTCTGAACTTTCTTGAGAGCAAGGATCAATCATCTGGTCTTCTCGATTCAATCACCAACGGACCTGCACAACTTATGATTGCTGTTGAAAGAGACAATGGGAACAATCCACCGGTTGAGATAGAATGGAGACCGAAGACCGTTGACGAATATGATGATGAAGACCGTGCCAGAATCCGAGCTGATCTTATTGCAAAGACCTATCTCTTGCAAGCCATTCCAAATGACATATACATGCAAATCGATAGTATGTCCACAGCAAAGGAGATGTGGGACGAGATTTTTAAGATTATGCAAGGCACAGAGATAGGTGTAAAAGCGAAGAAAGCCAGCACATTTACAGCATACGACTCATTTAAGGCAAAGCTCGGAGAGTCACTGGAAGACACTTACTTGAGGTTTCTGCAGCTTATAAACGAAATGAGGAAGATAAATGTGCATAAATCAAACATGGAACTGAATGTGCGGTTTCTCTCTGCACTTGGAGCTGACTGGAAGAAGCTGACCTCTCAGATCAAGCACACAAAGGATCTTGATGAGATGGACATCCATGCCGTGTACAACACATTGAGTCAGTACACTGAAGATTTTGAAGACTTTGTTGTGACTACTGTGACAGCTGAAAGAGAGAAAGGAGCTGTGAATAAGCTTGCAGACACCCTTGCCTTAATGCTTGACAAACCATCGAAATCTGGCTCAAAGAAGGACAAAATGATTGCTGAAGAAAGTGAGAGTGC